CCCCCCCCCCCCCCCCCCCCCCCCGCAATATCTAGATGCATGTCATGGCTCTAGCTTCATTCTCCCCACCCCTTCAGTTCACTAGCACTAACACGTGAATTGGGAAGAAGAGCATCTCTCCTTCCCCTGAGAAAGCCATTCATTCATCGAGAGCTGATCTCATTGCTGGAGGTGGGGCTCAGTGGGGTCATGCGAGGCCAGCAGACCCCGTTCCCCACGGGCCGGCCCAGAAGAACCTGTAGTTGCCTTTTCTCTACATGTTGAACTGCATGAGTCAACATCAGGAAGCAAAGCCAAGTTTCCCAAATACTTCATGGCTCCTTTTCGATGGCTTTCTTTTGACACGGTCTTTCTCCTCCTAGTGTTCTGTAATGCACATGCTCACGGAGACACAGCACTTTGAAGAGATTCACAAGCAGACTGCTTGGCACTTTTAACAGACCTAAGTGTATCTACATCTAAAGGTGTTCTTCCCAGCAGTGTTTAGGAATAATCGATTTCTCATGAACATTATGATCTTTACAACGTGACTTTTGCAAAAAGGATAGACTGGGGAAATGATAATCTAATTAATATTTAATTATGTTAATATTAATGAATGATGAAATGGGAAGAATCAGGGATATCAAAAGAATAGAAAATGAGATTTTGATTTCTTCTAAATTTTTTTTTTGATTACCTTTTAAATTCATTAAGATTGTGAAAGCTAAGGGCTGGGGTTATGGCTCAGTGGTAGAGCACTTGCCTAGCATGTGTGTGGGTTCAAGTCTCAGCATCATAAATAAATAAATAAAATAAAGGTTCATTGACAACTAAAAAAAAAAAACCAAGAATGTGAAAGCTAGACACCTTCTTAAAGTGTCAGCGTGAAGCTGGGAAGTTCCCAGAGGTCCTAGGCCATCTTAGTGGAGAAGTGTGATGAACAAGCAGAAGAATCTTTTAGGAGCAGTGTTTGCTTTCTCGTCTGATGCCTCCAAGCGCAGTAAACCCTCAAGATGGGAACACAGATGCAAAGGAACCAGACCCAGTAACATATGGCAGGAACTTCAGAGTCCGCTCAAACTGAGTTATTTAACGACCAGCTCAGAATATGGTCAGCCATTCTGCTTATGGCTAGGGCACGGCCTGCCATACCGAGCTGGGCACTCTGTGGGTGCTCCTGCAGTGCTGTGCAGACTTGCAGACCCAGGCATGGTGTTCTGTGAAACCAGTTGACTTGTTCTAGGTAATTCTCCCCAGCTTTTAGAAATCATATTTACTTATGATGGATGATATTCAGGTAAGTGCAGAAATCTCAGTTAACTGTACGTGTTTTAAAGCTCAAATGTTGGTTACAGAACAGAGTCATGATCTGCTGTGACTGCACTTGCCCTGTGTAACTCCTGTGCTTGTTTATTTTTCACCTGTAGAGATGTGGCGAATCAGAAGTCCTAGATGAGAAGGAGTCCATTTCTTCTGCTTCCCTTGCTGGCTCTAGTTTGCCTGTTTTCCAGAATGTTCTGCTAAGGTTTTTGGATACACAGGCCCCCTCATTGTGTAAGTAAAAAAGGCCTTTGCTTCTCAGTAAGGTTCGACCCTCCCCACTTCTTATTCCTATCTTATCAAAAGTTCTTGGAACTGAATATCATGAATGTGTTACTAAACAGAATTTAGTATCATTTATTTAGTGGAAACTTTTAGCCAATTTTAAAATCAGTCAAGCATCAAATACTTTAAATTTTTAGATTTTAATAACTTAAAAATTAAGTCACCTCACTTCCTTAAATTCAGTGTACTGTTTCTCCTTTCTATATCTTTCAGAAACAGGAGCTATGACGTTTACCTGTGAATCTTAATCAGAAATTTTTATTTTTTTAACCTGTTTTCTTAAATTTTCCAACATTCCAACTCTTGCTCTTCAAAAGTGAAGAAAATTAACCATACTTTAACTAGAGCCTTGATACAAGGAAAAATTTATAAAGATGGTTGGCTACATTCATGATACCACCGTTTCTTGGATTTTCAGTCTCAGGCTATTTCTCTTTCTCTCTCTCTCTCTCTCTCTGGTGCTGGGGATCGAGTCCACAGGTGCTTGCCCACTGAGCTACATCCTTGCCCACGTTGAAAAATTTTTATATTTGAGACAGGTTCTTACTAAGTTGCTGTGGCTAGTGTACAACCTCCAATTCTACCTAGTCACCCAGTCACTGGGGCTGCAGGTGTGTGCCATCTGCCTGGCTTTGTTTTTTACTTTTATTGTTGGTGAGGAATTGAAGGTTTGTGGCATTTCCTCCCACTCCCCCCAGGACACTTTGGTAGGCAGTGCTTTTCAGGTTTAGTGTTACCATGTAGGCGCAATGTATCTGGAGATTTTTATAAGGCAGAACATAGCAGATAGGATCTTACAGCAGATAGGATCTTACAGCAGATAGAGATGGAACAACAGGAAAATAGCAAAACATGGAAAGCTGTGGACAGGAAAGAAGGGTCGGGGAGGGGAAGGGAGGAGTCGGAGGAGTGAAAGGAAAGCAGCAAGACTGCCTTGTTTGGGTTGTGTGAGGCTTGTGCTGAGGTTCTTGGGTGCCAGCGGCTCCCTTTCAGTTATACAGTGATTTTCTGGGCTGTAGGGAAGCCAGCCTGGAGCCCAGCGGGTGGCTGGAAGACAGCAAGCAGAAAAGGAAGCAGAAAAGGGGAAGGACCCAGGGGACCCAGTGGGGGAGGCACATCAGGCAGGAGGTAGGCAGGGAGGGCCCTTGGCCCTGGTGCTCCTCCCTCCCCAGCCGGCTCCCTGGTCTGTGCCCTGCTGGTTCCCGGTGGCTTTTTCTGCCCCTGGAGAGCTAGCTGGGCTCCTTCCCATAGAAGCTGCTGTCTCTGGAGTGGTAGGGGCCAGAGGAAACACTTCGAATCTAGGTCTAGGAGTGCAGCCCAGTGCTCTTGGGAGAAATCTGTTTCCTGTTGGCACCAGGGATTGAGCTTTGCATGTTTAGTTTTAAAATTTTTTTAACTTTATCCAAAGGTGCAGGTTATTATATGGGTTTAAGTGGTGCATGTTTTTTTTTTTTTTCTGTTTTTTTAATGCTATGGATTGAAGCCTGGGGATACTTAACCACCGAGCACATCCCAAGTCTTGTTTGTTTCTTTTATTTCTTTTATTTATTTATTTATAATTTTGAGACAGGTTCTTACTAACTTCTCTAGGGCCTTGCTAAGTTGCTGAGGCTGGCTTTGATTTTTTTCTTTTTGTGGTGCTGGGCATTGAACCCAGGGCCTTGTGCATGCTAGGCAAACACTCTACCAACTGAGCTGTATCCCCAGCCCCCTGAGGCTGGCTTTGAACTTGTGATCCTCCTGCCTCAGCCTCCTGAGCTGCTGGGATTACAGGTGTGTGCCACCTTGCCTGGCTTCATAGAGTGTGGTTTTAACATTGAAAGTCATAATGTGAATTAAATAGACTGGTTGCAAATTTTACAAAAGAGTAAGGGCTCCAACTTTGTGTCCTTTTTATTCCATTTTTTCTGTGTTCCTTTCTTTCCAGTGAATTCTGATTCTTTGTCTGCTGCTGCTGCTTCTTTCCAAATGCCATGTTAATTGTGGTGTATCATAAAGTTTCTTGGAAACGGGCACACACGCCCCACAAAATGCCAGTCACACTCAGGACATTAGGAAACCACGGCCTCTTTCAGTAGAAGAGCTGGGTGGGCGCTGGCTAGGCCTTCCTCTGTTACCTGGAGGTGGATTCCGCAGGGTCCTCTTCTGTTGCATCTAAAGGGTGCCCAGCACACTGGCACTGCTTCCCAGTCAGAGCCGAGTAGTCCCATCCTGCCCGTCAGCGGGGATGCCATTGCTGCATAGACCCTGCAGTGACAAGGAGGGTGGGCACGGGAGGCAGGGAGGTGCCCTTCCCCTGGCCATCTCCACTGAGCCTGGGAACGGGGCCTGCTTTTCCACAGCGGACCCCAACAGCGAGTGCGAGAAGGTGGAGTTTGTGAACCTGGTGCTGCTCTTCTGTGAGTTCATCCGTCATGACGTCTTCTCCCATGATGCCTACATGTGCACGCTCATATCTCGAGGGGACCTGTCCGTCACCGCCTCCACTGGGCTTCGGTCGCCCGCTGGGGAGAATATAGACGAGCACTATCCCAAGGACCATGAGGTGAAACTGGAGGTAGGGCTGGAGGCAGGGCAGGGGCCGGACTTCAGCCCTGCCGGGAATCACCATCAGAGGGTGTCACCTTGGTGATGGTGGGGTGATGGCTTTTGGTTGTGTTCTCCTCAAAGCTTCTCTGCCTCTTCTCTTTGCTCAGAAAGGGCATTTGGACTCTGGTTTATACTCCCAGAGTGGTCTTTGTATACTGGAAGGCTGTTGATAAACAGATTGGGCAGCCGTACATTTTTCACGGGATGGAAAGATGTGCTCCTAGTTTTAGGTGACCCAGCGTCCGGGTTTCTTTTAGCGTTGCATCCCCAAGTGAGTTTTGGCCCAGCTGAGTTTCCATTCTAAGGAGCCTCTTTCCCCCACTCACTGCTTATGTCACCCTTTTAAGCATAAGGGGAGATTCTGTGTTAGTCATAACACATCGTATTTTCATTTCAATTAATTATTTTCAATTTTTAAAATATGGTAAAATTGTTCTTTTATGCTGTATGACTGTATAATTTTCTGCCCAAGTGTTGATATTTTGGATATTGCTCCATATACTTAAATTTTCAAGATAAAAAATATGAAACTGGTAGTTGGAATTAGTGGGAAATAGTAACCCTTCCTTAAAATAGTCTCCTGTTGGTTCTGTAAGAGTTTAGTCATATACCATTATGTGTGTTTGAAATAGTGCCTATACTTGTACTTTTAAAAACCTGGCATGAGAATTGTAAGCTTGAGTTTATAGTTCACACTCTTAGGGTGTTTTCCTAAAGGTACAGAATTCTAAAAGTTCTTGTTTCATTACAAATACTTTTATATCTTAATTGGAACCCAGAAGAAGGCATAAGGGTAAAAACTGAAGTCCTTTGACCTGTTTGCATGTTTTCTGAGCTTGTACTTTCCCTTTTCTGACCTTGGGTATCAGGGTTATTACATCATAGGTATGAACTTGGGTTTTCTGGCTGAGGAAAGCTGGGCCTCTGACTGGGGATACCCAGGGGAGGAATCACGGCCACTTTGTTTTCCATCAGGAAGTCCGTGTGCCCTTCCCTCAACATACCATGACAGAACTTTCTCATGGTGGGGAGGGGATATGGGCGTCAAAGCTGTGCATGTTCAAAACTTCCTTCAGGTTTTCTGGGAACAGACAGGGTGGGGGGGGGGGGGGGGGCGGTGATGCCGCAGCGCTTGCTGTTGTTCAGTGTGTTCTGTGAACCACAGCCTTTACAGCAGGACTCTCTCCCTGGCACTCATCAGGAGCAGAGCATCATGGCGCACATGGGCATTGACCCAGGAACCGCTCACATTTTTGATGAAGTAGACAAGAGTGACTTTAAAGCCGACTTTGGCTCGGAGTTTCCAGTAGGTTCAGCCTTTGCTTCTCACGACAGTCAGCCCACCCCCTCTCGCCAGCTTGTGTCCACCCTTTTGTTTCTTGCCCATGTCGCAGAGTGACTTGTGCACTTGTGATGTGTGCTCTTCCCATTCCTCCCTGGCCCCAGGGACACTTCACATGCAGTGTCTCCCCTCGGCTCACCATTTTGCTGTCCTCCTACCCAAGGGTGACTCCTTGGTGCATCCTGAGGTCGTCACCTCTCAGGAGTGCATGCATGTGGTTTCATCGTGTCTGTCCCTGTTGTTCTGCTGTGCATGTCTGAGCAGCTATGTGCTCGGGAGCTGTAGGTTCATCCTTCTCTGTGTCTCAGGATAATGATGATGTGACAGTCACTAGTCTTGGTGTGATACTCTATAAGACATATTGTCTAGGGTGCATGGGAGGCCCTGATGCCTGCTGTTTGCTAGTCTTAGTAGTTAGCTGCTGCGATGTCCCCACTTTCTGGAGCAAGTGTCGCCCTGAGGGGAACACACACACCCCTAAGGCTTCTCCTTCTCTGGTCCTCCAGGAAGTGGTCACATTGGTCCCTTTTTAGCCTCTGTATGGTTTTCATTTTCACTTCTAAGTGGGACAGGATTTTACTAAATTCCTACTGATCTGAATGTGAATTTTGTGGAAATCAACATTTCTGCATGCTCTCTACTCAGTGGTTAAGCAGGAAGGGGTGTTGTTACAGGAGCCTCTTTTGTGTGTGGAGATCTGGAATGTAGCTCTGTGGGTTGGTTTTTCCCTCTTTCATTGATAATCTCCAACATTTGTTTTACATGACTTAGATTTTTTCTCCCATGCCTGGAGAGTCCTGTGAGAACACCAACCCTTCCTTGGGCAGAAGAATGTCACTTAATGGAGAGAAGTTGGCCAAGAGGGAAAAACCGAGGGAGTTGATTTTCCCATCTAATTATGACCTCCTCCGCCACCTGCAGTATGCAACACATTTTCCTATACCTCTGGTAAGTCACCTCTTCCCCCAGCTTACAGCCTGCTTGCTCTGTTATAAAGTCTTAACTTCCGAGTGCCAGATTACCCACCTGCGTGTTGGACTCACACCTGTGACAGCGGTGAGGTTTCCTTCTGCTGCTCTGTTGGTTGGGGTTCTGATCACGTGGCTTATGTCCTGAGGTCATCCACACTTGTGGAGTGACATGAGTGGCTGGCTGCAACAGAATTTCTATATTTGTATGGTTTTGTGAAAAGCATCCAAGTCACTGCAAGTGATGTCCCCCTGTGACCTCCTTCTCCATCTGAAAGTCATCTGCTCAGTAGCTGTGTGCTGCATGGTGGTAGGTGCTTTTGGTATGACACAGATGAGTAAGACTTTGGGGGCGCAGGAAAGACTGATGAGTCAGGATAGAGGCGAGTGTTCACCACATAAGAAGCGATCCTGTCCGCGCTGAAGTTGAGTCAAGTCCAGGTGCCCACTGGAAGGTAAGCCACAAAATTCCTGGGCTCCTTTTGCTCTCAGAGGAGGAGTGGTGGAAAGGAGCCTCTGATTGGGAAGGGGCGACGTCAGTGTAGCCGCTGTGGTCAAGTGGGGCTTGCTGGCTGTGGTTGGAGAACAGACAGCAGGCAGGCGAGTGTGGCCACAGGTTAATGTTGCGTCCCCATAGTGATGCCTTTGTTCTCTAGCGAGATGGACCGGGGTTCTGTATCGCTAGTGAACATGGGCCAGGTTCTCGGTTCTCCGGTTCCCTTACTTTTTCCTGCAGTTCTGTGGTAAGTGCAATCACGGTGCCTCATTTTCTTCATGAGATGCTTTTCTAAATAATGTGAGGTGTGTGGTGTGTGAGCATGTTATTCTCTGGCTGTCTTTGGAGTTTTGATCAGCAAGTATGTATTCTGCTAAACTGACTCATTTTTTTGGTAGTTTGGAACATCCTTCAAAATGATTCAAAATCACTAAATCCATGTTTTTATCTTAGCACAATGAAAAAATCCCTTTTCTGTATGTGATTCATGTCTGTGGCTATGTCAAAATGAGCCAGAACTCTTTTCTTGCTCATCTTTGTCTGAATATCTCAGCCGTTTTCAGCTGTACCCGTAGGCATCACCCACAGTTTATTTGGGGCAGCAGAAAAGGTAACCTTATACTTTAGAGATGTGTCTTGAAGAAGTTATGGATGAACTATCACGAATCCTGGGGTTTTAAAATATTCAGAATTAAAGTCTGGGACTTAATAATAATGATGTATCAATATTAGCTTCTTGGTTTTAATAAATGTACCATGATTTTATAAGGCATAACATTAGGCGGAACTGGGTGGAAAGTTTACAGGGTCTCTTTGAACTGCCTCTGCAGCTTTTCTATAAGTACATCTGAAATTACTCCAAGATGAATAGGTGATTTAAAAAAAAAACAAAAAAACAGGCTCATTGAGGCAGGAGGATCAAAAGTTCAAGGCCAGCCTTAGCAATTTAGTGAGACCCTATCTCTAAATAAAATATAAAAAATATATTTACAAAATTGTAAACAATAGTTTGAAGTGGCTCAGTAGTTAGTTGACCCTGAGTTCAGTCCCTAGTACTCTTCACCACCCACCCCAAGGAAACCAACAAGGAGAGATAAATAAAGCTAATATGGCATAATGTTTCCCATGGCAGAGGCTTTCCTGTGGTGCTCCTGGGAAAGTAGAGCTTTGCATCTGAGCGTTGAGCAGGGCATGGGGCATCAGCTTCTCCATTCCACTGCTCCTGTGGCTACACCTAGATTTGGGCATCCTAATGACTGGTCTACTTCCCTTAGAAGAGAGAGCATGGCAATTTCAGGGACCAGGTCCATGTTGAGTCCAGACATAATGAAACTGTAATGTGATCCTAGCAGAAGTTCTTGTACAATTGGTGTTTAGGACATAGCATTTAAAAAATTTATTTTTATTATTATTATTTGTACTGGGAATTGAACACAGGGTGCTTTATCACAGAGCTACACCCTTGGTCCTTTCATTTTTATATTTTTTTATTTTGAGACAGGGTCTCCCTATTTTGCTTAGGATTTCACATAGTTGCTCAGGCTGGCCTTGAACTTGTGGCCCTCCTGCCTCAGGCTCCTGAGTCACTGGGAGCACAGGTGTGGGCCACTGCACCTGGCAAGATATAGCATTTTTAACAGCTCTCCACCACTGATTGTCCTGAGTCCCCCTTACCACGAGTACAATCTGGAGACCGTCGGGGGAAGTAGAGTGTGCTAGGACGATCAGTGCTGCTGCTGAGAATGTGGCTCTGTTCCTTCAAAGAAAGGGGAAGTCCCGTGCTTGTGAGGAGAAGGCCAAGAACTTGGGGATTCTTTTCACTCTAGTGTGGCCCCAGTGAATAAAGACCAAGGGGGAGGAAAGGGGTTGCCTGGCGGTCCACAGACACACACCAGCTTCATGTACACTGCTGCACAGATGCCATTTTGATCTGCCCATCAGCAAGCCTGTCGTTCAGGCCACCAGCATGCACAGGTGTTCTGCAGCCTGGACATCGGCCTGCGATGCTGATGGTGTTGCTGTCCTTGTTACCTGCAGGCCAGATATGTCCAGACTTAACTTGTTACACATTTTTTAGTAGATACTTTCTGCATTTTGTCATTTATAATTCATTTCAGACTCAGAAAATATATTTGCAAAATTGTAGATAAGAGTTTCAGATTTTAGAAAAGGATTCTCCATATGCAAAAATGAATTCAGAATTGGACATGACACCCAGGGCCACTGTTTCTTAACCATGGCAGACGATGCGGTCTGCTGCCAGCTGTTGGTCAAGGTTTGACTAATGATGCTGAGGGCTGAGACTCACGTGCGCTTGCCAAACTTTCCCACCCTCCTCCGACTGACTGCTGTTTACTCCTATGTGCTGAGGCCTACCTGTATCACTGGCCATGGAGAGAATTTGATCAGAGCCGGGACCCTGAGCATTGGAGTCTCCTGTATTTCAAATAGCCTGCCCCACGTGGGGCAGGCTCATCTCCCTGGGCCTGAGCTGGCCACTGGCCCAGCCCTCGTGTCCTTTACATGGCCTGCTCTGTGGCGCTGCTGTGTCTGTTTTAAGGCCATCTGGAGCTATTTTTCCATACCTTCCACATGAGTTTCTGGTTTGGAAATGATAGTTTCAATACCTGGTATAATCTAATAACTCCCTTTGAAAATGAAATAGGGCCTGTGTGTTACATAGTATGACAAAATAAAAACATGAAATCACTAGATTTATTATTACAATAGGATGCCTTTGTAATTTACTGATTGAATATAAGCATATGTAACACATTAAAAATTATCCATGAATTTTCAAGTTTTTTTTTAATAAATAAAAGCTTTTAATATATATATATATATGTGTGTATATATATATATATATATATATATATATATATATATATATATATATTTATTTAAGTGGTCAATGGAACTTTATTTTCTTTATATGCGGTGCTGAGAATTGAACCCAGGGCCTCACACATGCTAAGCAAATGCTCTACCACTGATCCACAACCCCAAACCCCAAACCCCAAAGCTCTTAGCTATTAGAAAAAGTTCGATGTTAAAACCTGGAGGAGGGGCTAGGGCTGTAGCTCAGTGGCAGAGCGCTTGCCTAACATGCATGAGACCCTGGGTTCGATCCTTAGCACCACATAAAAATAAACAAAATAAAGGCATATATATAACCATATATAACTACAAAAAAGAAAAAAAACCTGGAGGAGTAGCAGACTGAAGGATTACTGTTTTTTAAATAATGAATTAAAAATAAATCAGGCAACAGGTGGTTTTGTATACATTTTTTTTTTTTTTTTTTTGGTCTTTTAAAGTTATCTGAAGTCCTTTAAAATTGTTTTGCTGAGGGGCTTCTTGAAAATTCACAGGGAGCTCATTTTACTGTTTCATTGGAAAGTTCAGTTCTGGGTAGTTAAATGAATACCTGAGTCTGTGTCATGGACACTTTTTGATTTCAAGGGTACTGCACGGATTGACACTGGTTGAACAACACTCTTTGGTTTTCTTGTACAAATATCTGGGCTCAGTAGTTTGACAACCGCAGTAGTAGTATGAGATTGGCTTGCATTTAGAAGTTGGGTTTCTGTGTAAGACAGTCCACATTTGCTTGCTGTCTGTATTTTTTATTACCAAGACCCCTACCCCCCCGTTTTTTCCCGCCTTTCAAAACTGTAAATAGCTTTAAAGGTTCTGTAAAGGAGGAGGCAATAGCATGAAAGCCCCACATTTTATACATCATCTTCAGACCTTGTTTTTTCTCTCTGGGCCTTAGTCTCCTTAGGTGAGGCAAAAGTCTCAGTGACCTTAGAGCGGAATGCTTTTGAGAGATGATAGTACAGGATAGGGTCAAAGCACAGGTTGGACACTGCCAGTAGCAGCGTGGCCTCCTTGGCTTTGAAGAGCGAGATCCTGGTGGAGCAGTCAGAGATGACCTCCGTCTGGCTGAGAGTGTACGGGATCCGCACAATGTGGTAGGGCAGGAAGCAAACGATGTAGCCCGCCGTTACCAGGAGGATGCTGACGAGGGCCCGTCTCACGTTTGGGTAGTTTTCATTATCTCTGTTTCTGTAGAGTTGTCGAATCACAAGGCAGTTGGATATTAAAATGATGGCTGAGAAATTCAGAAATATTGCTACACATATGAAGTTGGTCAGCAAATGCCAGTTTCTTCCGAATTCATTTTTAAATTCCATGCAGCCTACATTCGGCTTTTCCCGGATGTGTTTGATGGGGATTGCCATGTTGGGGACCATTATAAGAAGAACCATGAGCCACACAACTGTGGAGATCATTTTTGCGAATCCAGGTTCTTGGATGCGGTAGATCTTGCAGCTGTGGATCAGCTGGAGGTAGCGGTCAATGCTGACAAAGGCCAGGAAGATGATGGATAGGTACATGTTAATGTAGATCAGGCAGGCTGTCACCTGGCAGTGGAATATCCTTAGCTTCCATGGCGCCACGCCCAGGTCCACAACAATTTT